CACACACACACACACACACACACACACTCCACTTCCAAAGTCACTCGGCTTCCAAAACACAACCACAAGACACGATGGATCGGAGGCTCTCACTGTGTTCAAGTCCTGACATAAGTGCTTACATCTTCAACATTAGTATTTTCTAGAGTATTTAATAGAACATCTCTAAGTCACCATGGACTATTAAAAGTGACTGCTTAAAAGCGAAGACTGGAAGAATAGATTTAAGCATTAAGCTACTAAGCTAGGTCAGCCTTCCTCAAACCTTAATGAGGACCACCCTCGGTATCTTGGGAAGAAAAATGAACAGTAACCATGTCAGGTAAATGAGACATTGCGTGTCAACAGGCCTTGTGCGTAGCTGTTCCTACAGCAACACCAAAGAGCAATCAAACAGGAGAACAAAATTAATTAATGCCCTTCCGTCCTCCAGAGTCCCCAGGGGCAGCATTCCATGAGCAGGAACCTGCTGCTGCTGCCAGATACAGCCCTGGGGTCACACACGTGTCAGATGCTTGATATGGTGACTCATCCAGTGGGTGAAAATCAGCAAGAAGAGTGGCAGGTTATAGGTTACGTTGAAATTTACAGTCACACAATCAAAATTTCCGTGATGGATGCATCTTCAATACAGTCCAGGCTTTGAAAAACTCCCTTTTCGATATTTTAAAATGACTTACTGTTTCTTGTAATTCAAGAAAGGTAACAAGTGTTCTAATCAACTTTCTGAATGAAGACAATTTTATGTGCTCTCCAGTCAAGAACTTCCAAAAGGACTGGAAGCTATTTTTATCACATAAATAATAGTTTCTGTAGATATGCTGGAAAATTCACCCACTGAATTTGTTTTTCCAACCACGTCTCAGTAAGTCGAGAACAGGAAATGGGAGCCCACCTTAGGGACCCACTGAGCCCTCAGCAGCACAGGCTCAGGCAGGGCCTCACTAAACCGGGCCAGGTGGTTACGGTTTCCCTGAAGCCCTGTTTGATCTCCTCCCTGCACACATAGCTCCTGCACATTATCTGGGTGGCTGTGTCTCCTGCTGAGCACTGAGCAATAGGAGGGGCCTCTCCACAGCCTCGAAAGGAAGGAGAACCAAAGAGTGTGTGCGTGTGTGTGTGTATGTGTGTGCACGCTCGCACGTATGTGTCCAGGGGTGCTGGCAGAAGGTTCTTTATAAGTGACTATAATTCCCCATGATGAAGTCACGGCAAAGTTGAGCCTTGTTGGTTTTGATGGGGAAGGGATGGAGGCATTAAGTAAACCATCAGAGAAATTTCATTAAAATAAAATTTCATTAGAGGCAAATGTCTTTTTGGATGCCTTATTAAACACCCTGGAGAAAGCTGCCTGCTACCGTCCCTGCAGGTTCACTCATGGGGGACAGTGAATGGGGTGTGGACTCTGCTCCTACTGCGGTTCCGGGTGTCCAGCGTCCCTGCCACCAGCAGAGAGGGCTGTGCGTGCTCGTAGTCCAGTCTAGACATCATCTGAGGGACAGCGGCTTCCCTGAATGCACCCCAAGTTTCTCCTCACATCTTTCTGATGGCAGGGTGCGCGTCACCACAGGGCCCACTGCAATCATTTGAAACTCTTTCTGTTCATTAAAATCTGACTTCCTGTAACTGCTTAGCCTGCTTTTTACACATAAAAAATGTTACATCAACCCACCAGTGACAGCCTTTCCAAGTACCTGCAAATAGTTTTCTTGTCCCCTCCAAATCCTATTATTCCCTTGCTTAATGCACTTGCAGATCACCCCATCCTTTAATTCTCTGCTAGGTAAGCTCCAGCAGAGTTCGTTGCATCACTATAAAATAGCTTCCACTTACCAACAACACACTACCTCCTCCAAAAAGTGGGAAATTATTTGCTTCAGTCTTCTCGATGATACCTTTTTGAGGCAAGTATTTTCACCCTCACTTGTCTGTCAAAAACCCCTCAGACAGTTTTCTGTTGCTATCCCCAAATATCTGAGGCTGGCTACCTTACAAAGAAGAGAAGTACTTGGCTCACCATTTTAGAGGCAGCACTGTCGTCTGGTGAGGACTCTGGCGCTGCACTGTAAGATGGCGGAGATGTCCCGTGGGGACTGCAATCTCTTCCTCTTCTTGTAAGTGACTAATGCCATCTCGATCACCATGCCCAGGACCTCATCCCACCCCACTCCCCCATCTCCAAATGCCACTGACACGAACCTGAGGACTCAGCTTCCAGCACTGGAAGCGTGCGGGACACATTCACAACTGGACGAGCTCCAGGCTCCTTGGCCCACCCCGTTCTGGGGGCTCTGGAGCAATTAGCACATTTGGGCACAGCAGCGTCCTGCAGACGGAGGTGTCCAGCTCCAGAACCAAGACCCTGCTGCCTTCTGGAAACCAAGCACTGCTTCCGGGGAAGCAGCCTGGATGTCACGAGCGGCCGCGGCAGCTACAGTGCTGTCCCGGGGCTTTGGGATGAGCTGGGCATCTACTTAAACCTAAAGACGGGTTTCACTCACATCGCCACTAAGCACCAAACTGCCCTCAAACCAGACACATTTCTACTTTGTACTTGGTCTTTTCTAATAAAGTGAAGCTCCTTTTCTCTTTTTCCAGTACCGGGGACTGCATCCAGGGCCCATGCTCTGAGCCCCATTCACAACCCCTTTTTGTATTTTTTAATTTGAGACAGGGTTTTCCTGAGTTGCTGAGTTGCCCAGGTTGGCCTTCAATCTGTGACCTTCTGGCCTCAGGCTCTAGGAGCGCCAGGGTTACGGACATTAGTGCCTTAAAGCTCTTTATCACTTAAAAAAAAGTCTTCAGCTGTGTTTTTGTGCTTTTCAGAAGCTGTGCTGGGAGGAGAGAGTGGACTGAAGGACATCTTTCCTGGGACAAGGCTTTGCAGCCTGTCTACCCAGGAGTCCCAGGACTCCTCCGCAGGCAGGCTGTCCTGTCCACAGTTTATGTTACAAACAGGAGGCACCATCAGTGTGCTTTTTCGACAAGGAAAGCACACAATTCGCTTTCCTATTCAAGCGACCAGCAACAAAGACACCTACAGGGCTTGACGAGTCCGCGTCTCTCCCTCTTCTCCACAAGGATGTCAGCTGTGAACATGCTGTTCTACTACTAATGTCTCTGGGGAAACTGAAAACATTCTGCTGGCAAAAGTTTTTACATTCCAGAAAAAGCTACTCTTACGCATGATTCAAATTCATAAAAGATATTTTCTAATAAGGGAAAAGAACCGGACTGACTAACACCGCTATGCTACTCAAAATCCGTGTGGCGACACAGAAAGTAACAACGAATCGGATCCCAGGTTAAGTATAAAATAAAAATCCTGTATCAAAACCACAGCGATTAATGATCAGGAACCCGAGCATGAGAATTAATTAAATTTGGCAGAAGGATCAACAGTATGTGTGCCTTGCTCAACACGGAGTCATGGTGCCCCTTACATGAAGGGAGGGGACTGCCAGGGAACCTTATTTATTCCACCATTCAGATACAATCAGTACAAAACTCTCCTTCCAGTTAAGGGGAAGTTGCCCTTAGACCAATTTTTCCAGAATGGGCTCTACACCAGAAAGACTCACTCTCTAAAGTTAGGAAAGGTCGTTAGGGTTTACCGTAGAGTTCAACCGCACCTACACTGCAAAACTCTCTCTGTTTACAGAATTAACATCCAGGTCTATAATGGAACACTTTGATACAAGAAATTAACTAAAAGCAGAACCAGAAAGATGTAGGAAATGGATCTGAATGTGGCAGACTTTATAAATACCTTAGCAACTCATACTTTAGTGTTTGTAATGATTAAAGTTTTCTCCAAATCAGTCAGTGACAGACCAAATAACTTTTCATGTAAGAATTATTTTTCAACATATTTTTTCTATGTTTCTGCAGTAATTTAGTAACATATCCCTCGTCCCTACCCTAAAGTCTACAGTCAATATGAGATGAATCTGAACCTTACATTGCAAGAAAAGCCCTGGGCACACAGCTGTGTTACGCAAAATACAACACAGGGGAAGGGGAGGGAAATGAGAGGGGATGTGGGGAATCAGGGTGGCTTCACGCAGCTGTCGGGAGCAAAGAAGAGCCAGAGGGTGTGAATACACACGTCCACACTGCCTAGGTGGACCCACTATGGGAGCCTGGGCAGCCACTGTGCTGGAGGGACGGCAGTGCTTCCCCCGTGACAGGCAGAGGCTGTGAGCCTGAAGAATGTGCTCTTTGGATGAAGATGTCAAGGCTGCCACCACACTGCCTGGGTGAAAGGGCAGCAACACTGGCCTGGTACCTTGGGGGCCTGATCGGGCAATGGGGTCCACGCCCTGCCTGGTCACTCCTGGTGGCTCAGAGAACCAAGCAAGCACTGCCCTCTCAGGCCACCCCAGGCTGGGTGGTCTCCTCTACTACCTCGTTCCCCTAAACATGCCTGATGCAAGCTGTTCAATGGCCACCACCAAGAGAGGGATTGTCATTTTCTCTATAAAGGAACAGAGGAATATTCACTCTTGTGTAACAGAACCTCTGTGTCCACCATAATGTGCATTTTTAAAACTACCCATTCCTCGAGCCAGAAAGGGCCACAGGCACATAAAATCATCCCACCTCCACCAGGTACAGAATGCCTACGTTCCTACCAAGTAATGAGTGATGTGGCCAGAAGCTAGGCAAACAGGAAAGATGAAACTCACTGAAATAACAGTCTGTAGCCAGGATCTTACAGGAAAGCTGATTTTTAAGACTACAGCTTTTTTGTTCCTATCACAGAAAGTGTTGGGTACTCCATCGTATATTCATCTTACTTTTCACGGTAATTATTTTGGGACAGTGTACATATTTCTGGCAACCTGATCTCCCGTTAGGGTTGGAAATAATTTTGAATTTAGAAACTAGGTTTGAGTAATTTTCCGGGCTTGTGAGAAAATAAAGGCACCACCTGTACGTGAAAGGTCCACACCCCACAGCTTTCGGTGCTCCGGACTGGAAGGGTCAGGCACACTCACCTCCACCTCGCAGGTGTACTCCGAGCCATCCAGGAGGACCACCTTGCACTGCATACTTCTGGGCTTCTTGACGATCTTTAAAGGCGACCGGGAGAGTTTGCTGCTGGAGGACCTCTGAGAGAGTTTATCGTCTTCGAACTGCGGATACTCGAGCTGTTTGGCAGCTGCCGCAGCAAACTCCTGCTCCTTGTCGGTGACCTGTGAAGAGTAAGCAAGGAACAGTTTTCGTTGCGAGACAGGAAGTAGATACTACATTGCTTAGGGAAGCAGCCCGCTTTCGCGTTTTGCAGGGGTGGAGGCATCCAGCAGGTGTCAGAGTGGCTGTCCACACAAATTTGTGTGCTTTTAAGTCTCACCTAACAGCTCTTGCCATTTAAAGAGACCAGGATTTAATTTAAAAGGACGGAATTACCAAATGCCATCAAGATTTTACTAAGCAAAGAAGGCAAAAAAATGACCCCTGACTTTTTAAAGACATCACCTATCATAGGCCACTAAAATATATCATCTGGATTGTACATTATGAACTCTATTTTCATAATCCACTGGATTTTCTATATTCCTACACTTGATAGCCAGCCCAGCCATATCGTTAAATGTATCTTAGCAAGTTCCAGGCTTGGAGCGCTTCCTGTATTAATCTTTTTAGTAATTTTACAACCGCTAGATCCCTGAGTTTGCTCTCCATCAATTCAATGAAGTCAACAGCACTGAAATTCATCAGAGTAATCCCCTTAGTGTGTTTCTCTTCACAGCAATGAGCCAGGACAAGAGAGCAGATCAAATCTGTCCAAAAGCTTTAATCTGCTTTCGAATCGCAACAGCCTGGTCCAGGGCGGACTCCAGACTGCAGGGGCCCTGGAGTCAGTCCCCTGGGACAGCTTCTTACGCACTGCTCTCTACCGACTTTCCTACATCCCTCGGCTACTAAACCACCACAACAGTGGTAGTGAAAATCATCCACGGCTGGACTGCCATTCCCACTCATCTGCAAACACGCACCAACAGTCCACAGAAGACACACACCGAGTGAGAATGAGCACGACAGTTTCTCTCACACCGATGTGCTCTCAGCTACCACTAAATAAAGGTCCCCCGACTCCTAAGTGAGGACAGTATTGACAGTTGATTATTTGAAGTTTTCTTTCTTACTAGTCACTACAGGTTTATAACCACAAAATCATTTTTGGTAGACTCATTTTGGGTTTTAGTCATAAATTTCTCCTCTGCCCACATTTTCTACTGTTACTTCTATCCACAGGGTGCTTTCGGTCCTTTCCTCCACTACCAAGCCCAGGAATTCTAGATAAAGCCTTGGGAGGTCCTTGAGAATAAGACACCAATGTGTTGCACTTATGAGAGGAAACCAAGAAAAAATAGAGTAACCAACTTTGAAGACTTTCAAATAGGTCACAAAGCAAGCTTCAGCTAAAGCAAGCCAATGAACAAAAGAAAACCTGTCCTGGTAACTTGCTCCAACCTTTTGACCAGCACTCTATCTGCATCAAACCACTGAAGTAAGAAATACAGGAAACCCTTAAAGTGTCACTGATGCTGCCCTTGAGGTAGATTAAGGAGGTTTGGCAACCTTGGGCTTGTATATCAACAACCATAACACATGTTGTTAGGTGCATTATAATTTATATAAGATTTAAGCATATTTAATTGATACTTTCACCTCTTCACAGGCAAGGTCAATTGAAGCCACATTTTATTTTACAGTTTACCTGTCATCAATTTTTTCTATGTATTCAGGAATATGACATTTCTTTTTACCTCTACTAAATAAGAGTCTGTTTCAGAGTACTAAAGGTTACTGAAATGTCAACTCCAGAGCATCTTATCAAAGGATGGGTCTCATTTGGATAATGATTCTACACCAGAGGCTCTTATAGCACACTTTAAAAACAACTTTACCTGCTCTAAAAGAGCTGACCAAGTACTCAAGTGACAGGTCATTTGTAGTCTGCAATGCAGTGTAATCAAGAAATAACAGCATCAACCACTATAGCAGATCCTCTATTCTACTCAACTCTCCTAGCAGCTGAGATGTGGGGACCACTATTCCCACTATGGATGGGGACAGGCAACCCCAGGGGGCCCAGGGAATTCTCTCCAGGTCCAAAATTACAGACTTGGAATTCAAAACTTGAATCAAACCCACATTTCAGTAATCACTGCATACCAAAATATTCTTCATTTTACCTGCAACACAACTGGCTTCCTCTGCTATGGAGCACAGAGTTCTATGGAAGAATCTTAGAAATGATCTTTTCTGCGTTCTTCATTTTGTACACATGCAAGCTCAGGCCTGAGAGCCCGAGTGTGCCTGGTGATGGTTGGAAGAGACAGGACCAGCTTAGGTCTCTGCCCTGTGCAGCGGGCATCTCTCCCTCTCAGGTTCAGCAGTGCTTCCCTTGTTTGGTCTCACACATTTGACCGCACAAGATAAGGTACAGGCATGCACCACACACCGAAGCTTTGGTTCAACACCGGACCCACGGTGCTCCCACGGGAGAGTATAAGAACCTGAAGAATTCCTACTTCCTAGTGACATCACAGCCATTATAAGGTCACTGTGCAGTGCACTGCTTACATGACTGTGGCCGTGCTGGTTAGGCAAACCTACTGTGCTGCCTACATGGATGTAAAGTGCGCAATACTTGATAATGGGAATAGATGACTGTCCTATTGCTTTATGTATTTACTATACTACACGCTTTAAGGTTAGAGTGTATGGCTACTTACAAAGTTTGCTGTAAGTCAGTCCCCAAAGCAGCAGTCTCATACGTTTAGGGTTCTGGGTTGCATCAATGTCTCATTTGTCACTTTATCTCATGTAGTTTTGTGTGTCAGAGTCCTAGGAGGAGTAAGCTATAGCTTATGTTATATAATGTGTAAGCATTTAAATGTGTAGCAGGCTACACTGTCGAGGTGTGTACACGTTCTCTGTGATGTTCACAGGTGACAGAATTGCCAAAGGGTGTGTCTCTCAGTGTGCCTTGTCACCAAGCGATGTATGACTGTGTGCTCAATCCTGTCTAGGCACGGACACATCCCCTTTTTAATTACCCTCACTTGCATTTTACTCATTTCAGAAGTAAGGGGAGAGAATGAAGAAAAGTCAGACTGTAGTAATTTAAAACTGTTGAAGATTAAAGGAAACAAAATAAACGAAATTAAACAGTACCACCATTACTTCACAAAAAGAAAAGCAAAAGTAAAGAAAAACAATGATGCCAGCATCACAGCCTTTAGATTTTGTTTGCCAGGCTGGGAAGGTATCCCCAGTTCGCAACACAAAACCTCAGAGCTCAAACAGAGCAACCTTTAATAAAGTGAAAATGAGGATTATCAAGACAGTCGGCAGGCAGAACGTGCATGTGCTATGGGAAAAGAATTAAAACAATCGAGCTACAAGTAGAGAGTTTAAGGTTATAATACTGTGTTGTGCCTTGCAGAGATTTTTCACTGCTATGCCGATTTCATGTCTCTTTTCTCAATATCTTCTAGAATTTTTAGATAATCATAAATTTCTAGGTTATCGTTCAAATTGTAAGAAATCAAACACACTAGGGACTCTGGATTTTGGCAGCACATACAAGTTGGTACTCTAAAACACGCTGATTCCTAGTTTGAAGTTTTAAGACAAAGGAAATGTCAACACAGATTCAACCAAGGCCTGAGTATAAACCACAATTTATTTTTAAAACAGAAATTTTGTTGTTTGGGGAGGTGACCTTGGGGATCCAACCCAGGGCCTCCCACATGTTTACCACAGGCTCTACCCCTGAGTTCCATCCTCTCCCCTGAACTGAAAACTTTGAAAACTCAAAAGAATAGAAAACAGAGCTGAAAATAAAGACCTGTGCAGGGGCGGAGACCTACTTAACCATCCACTAAAGGTAGCTGTTAATACTAAGGTCAGAACGATGCCTGGGAAAAATAAAAACATCTCTAACCCTTACTCAAATTAAAAACCAACTGGAAGCACAGTTAAAACTGGCAGTACCGTGTCTCCCCTTCCAGCAGATCCAGATAGGACCAGGCACCTCAGGTCCAGATTCCGGTGTCAGTTTAAACGTCTTGAAGGGAGGAGAGACCAGGTGGGACTACAGAGTGTCATGGGCCACGCACGCCTTAGAGCCGCATAAGCTTCCCTCCGCCCGGGACCATAAGACCCGAGCTGTCCCGGCTCAGACACCCAGGCCAGGGCACCTGCACCGGCTCTGCGGCCCCTCCCTCCCGCAGGGGCGCTCACCTGCCTGCGCACCGGGGTGCTGTGCGCCACCGCGCCCTGGAACTGCTCCGGAGCCCCGGGCTCTGTGCCGCCCCCGCTGGGGGGCTCCTCGTGCTGCGCCCCCGAACGGCTCTGCGCCCCCACCGCCTCCTGGGGCGCCGCCTCCTGCTCCGGCTTGGACTCCGAGTCTGATCCCGATTCGGTCGTCATGGTGGATTGTTCTGCAAGCAGAAAACAAGGGAGGGCTCCGCGTCGTCACCAGTGCAGCGACTGCGCTCACCAACCACGAGGGGCTGCATCAGGGCCCCGGGCGCGGGACGCACGAGCGCTCAGCGGGGGGGAAAAGTCCGTCTGTCGTGATGACACTTTTGCCTGTTAGGTTTTGGCCGCAAATCATCAAAAAAAAACTTTTTCCAAAATGTCACACTAATTAAATGACGTTTAATTTCACAAGAGTGAATTTGCCACATACGTATGACTAAATCCCCGGGGCAGATGAGAAAGTGACGGATGTGGATATTCCTCTTCTCCCTCTTCTGGTCTTTCCACTCCTGGACCTATGGATTCCTCGGGCCCCAGTGCTTTTTTCATCTGGTTTCGCCCGATTCTCTTTTGGTCCTTCTGAATCTGGAGGCTCCTTCTGGGGAGGGTCCCTGTCCCACACTGGGCAGGCGCGGGCCAGGGTTGGGGTGCACGGATTCACCCTCACCTCCTCCTTGGGTTCCTCCTGCCTCCCTGAACACCAAAAACGGGTTTGTCTCAGACCTCAAAAGGAACACCAACCGAGTTCTTCAGATGCCGTCCTCCCAAAGGCAGACTGGCGGGTCAGCAGCGTCTCCTAGCAGTGTGCTGACCCACGCAGGCATTTGTGCCTCAGGTTTCCCTTACGTGGATGTGAAAACTGGACAGGTTTGTACCCTAAGGACGGACTCACTACTGTCACTTTTTCCCTTGCTATTAGACGCAGCCCTGTGTGTTGAAGCAGATTTCTGTACCAGACATTAAAATAGCTACGCGGCCAAGTAGACATTTCAAGTCATACCTTATGTATGCGTGGTAAACATTGCAAAAACCAAATTTCTGATTATCATATAATTTCCCTTTCTAGTGCTCATTTTATAGCAAAAATATCCCCCGGAGCCAAGGGCTAGTGTAATGTTTAAGAAAACAGAATACTCGCTGGGAGAACATAGAATGATGCAAAATAAAACCAGTAGCTATGGTAAAGTCATCCTGCTGCGTCTGTGCCTGCAGGGCACGGTGGGAGGGGCTTCCTGACTGGAGTAAGGAGGGAAGTCACCAGGCCTGGGCTGCTCCTCCCGCTGAATAAGACACACCGACGTGGCGTGTGCCCACAGCCCCACAGCATGTGTAAATATCAAGTCCAAACCTACAGCAAGCGCGCAATCCAAATAAAGCTGACACATTCTCTTTCCCTCTTAATGTTTCATTTTGGACTTCCAAGCAAATCTTGAAAGTAAACATTAATTTCTTGGGGATGCTTATCCTGCAAAGTGGTGTGAGCACCGGGAGGAAGTGGTGCAGGAGGAGCAAAGGTGCTGAGATATGGAATTCAGAGCCCACAACTGAATTCGCTTTTGGAAGAGGGACGATCCGTTTTAAGATCCGTGCTGAGGACCCACCGCGTACGAGATAAAAGATGTTGCGGACCCTGCTGTCTTCCCCACTTCTTTGAAATCCCTGCCTCTGGGAGGCCAGTTCTGGGTGCCAGCTCCACCAATCAACCACTCGCGAGCCCTCGGCAGCCCAGCCCAGGGATGAGGCTCTGCTGGCGACCCACTTCCCATTGGGATTCGGAACACACCGTACTCGCCAGCCTTCCTCCTGGTCTCCGGCTACTCATTCTCCTCCAAAAAATATGGTGAATGTTCACGTCTTAAAAAAATTATTACTGGACAAGCCACACTGCCTCGAATGCCCCTCAAGCTAGTCCCTTGAACACGCTCGACCCCTCACTCTTGCCATCTTCTGAAGCAGTTCTGGAGGCCGTCTTGGCTGACTCGATGTTGTGAATCAATTGAGGACGTTTTCCTTTCATGGTGAACTTGACCTTGGGGAAGAGCGGGAAGCCACACAGCGCCAGATCCGTGATACAGGCCATGAGGATGCACTCCATGCTTTTAGGACCTGTCTTTCCACTGGATGGCGTCTGGCAACAGCATTTACTGCTTTTGAAAAATCACACCTTGTAAAGACACTCATGAAGGAGGACGTCCAGAACTGCTTCAGAAGGGGGCTGCAATGATGGCATAAGGGTGTTTGAAGCAAGGGGAGGATTTGGAGGGGGTTTCATGGCAATGTATTTTTTACTATAATTTTTAAAAATTTAAACATTCACCATATGTTTTAATCATCTTTTTTGCACTTTACAGAGTCCTCCTCTACCCAGCCTCTACCTGCAGGGAAATCGCAGAAAATCCAACTGGGATTTTGGGTCCCGCTTCTCCTCCTCCTCCCACCTGCTGCCCTAGCCACACTGGCTGGTGGTCTGAACACTTCCGGTGACTCAGCGGCCCACAGTCCTTCCACAGTTCAGAGCTCTTGGCACTGGCCCTCCCCGCAAGCCTCACCAGAGGAGGCTTTTCTCCCAAACTTGGCCTACGTCTCAGCATCGTCCTCGTGCAGTGAGTGCCAGTGTTCCTCCCCAAGCTGACTCACAGACCTCACCTGGGCATTTTCCTTTCTTACCTTCTTCAAACAGCTTTCCAATGCACTTGAGTCAAACCCAAACTCCGACCTGGCCTGGCCTCTGGGGTGTGTCCTGGCCCGATGACCTACTCAGTGGCTGAGGCCGCTCCAGCCCCTGAAGGCCTGGCTGCCAGGGGCTCCCTCCAGTTTCTACACCACACTGTCTGTGAGACTCGGCGAGAATGTGCTTCCTTCCCTCCGCCATTAAGCAGCCAGCTCCGCACTCCTCCACTGTCATCCCAGAGGCCTGCCCTGGCCACACTGGTGTTGCAGATTTCCTTCCTGTAACTGTCGAATTTTATAATTATTCTCTACTCCTACCTATATATTTCAGGGTGAGAACCACACCTATTTATACCCCAGGATATCCAGGACCAACACAGACCTGAAAATTTCTACAGTTATGTGGTGAATACATTGCAAAACCAACGCTATTTGCTAACATATATTTGCTATAATATATTTGCATTTAAAAGTGCAATATCTCTCTTTTATAGTTTTAATTTGTAAAAATCTCTTAAATGTGTTAAAAGTAGGTATTTTCTATGTTTTATAGCCAAGAATGCAGAATTCAGTTAAAAGTGTCTAAAGTGGACACTTTTACCTAAAAGGTAAAAATTTATACAAGTAATACGAACTACATATACATATATGTAGTATGTGTAATATACATACGCAATCCTATGAAAAGGCAACATGTGTCTTTCTACCTACCCCATTTGAAACATCAGAACATAATTAACACTAATTCAGCCCACTAAAAATATTACTGGTCTTCTCAGTCTAACACTTTTACCAGTAAAATAAAAGTCTTTTCAAAAAAATCACAAAGAAAAGGTGGCATTTCTCTATTAAAAACAATAAAAGTCATCAAATCATAAAAAGTAAAACATAACTACTAGAAAAACATTTTTTTAAAAAGGTGCTCATTTTCTTTCCTATGGCAAGGCAGTTCTTACATATAAATTATTTTCTTAATATTCAAACAATTTTGGATGTTACCAAGGTCTTCTTACTATGTTTTCTCAATGTCTCTTCAGGATTTTCTGTTAGTATTGTTACGAGTGGTTCAGCAAATCATAGATGTAAGTTAATAAACTAGATGTCAAAACAGTGACAAATAAAAAGCTAGAATCTTGTTTCAAACTCTAAATGTTTTTAGTTTATTTCATCTTAAATTCTGTGTATAATCTTTATGAACATAATACATGAAAATAATTAGCAGCAAGTAAGTTTCATGTATGATATTGGGTGAATAATACTTATTTTCACCCCTCCTTCCTTTTCTATAAAATGAGAGGCTCAGATTTGAAATTCGACCACCAAGCAGGCCAGGAGGGGTCTGGGGATTGGAGGAGGAACCTGAAGATCTTCCATCAGAGCCAAAGAACCTGTCGCCTCTCTCACAATCTTCTTGCAATTACTTGACTACTGTTTAAACACAGCAGCTTTAAAAATGCAGCTGAAATATACACATCTCATAGCTGACTATTCTAAACTTTCAGTTAAACTATTATCAAATATGCCTTAAAACCGAAATCTCTCTGAAACACACGCTGTTAGTCCAGGTAAACATGGTGGTCTCAATAAACATGACATGGAGGGAAGCTGAATAAAAGACTGTCCCAACTTTGACACTGATGTTGTTATTCTAGCCGTGAAACCATTTTGCACCTGGCTTTGTCTTTAATTCCAAGGCAGAAAGCCAGCTATACACAAACTAAATGAAAATGCAAAGTGGATGGAATCCAATACCCACCTATCAGCTATTCAAATAATAAAATAACCTATCATTACTTTTTACCTATGAATATTCCACATAATACCTCTCCTGTCATAACAGCACCTGAATCACCGAATGCCAATCATCAAAATAAAAACCTATGCCCTTGCCAGGTATTTCCTTGGCATATTGCTTCTTACTATAGGAATAATATAATAAATGAAAATTATTGCTATTTTTGATAAATGTTAATGATACTTTCCTGGCTATCGAGACACAGTAAAATAACAATCCTTTAAAATGTAAGTCTTTTAGATACATTTCATATAACAAAGTGAACATGAATGAAGTAAAATGGCATTAGTTGGCCCTATATTTTTAAAAGTTATATAACTGTTCAGCATCTCTTTTATACATTGTTATACATATCTAAACATTGTGTTTATGGTTTACACTTTCACTTGTATATGCAGGGCTGGATTAAGCTTTGTTGTGATTGTGACCAACATTCAGGCCATGTGAGCACTATCTTATCACATCACCAATTAGTTGTAAAAAATGTTCAACTTACAAAAAAATAAAAGTAAGTCTTTTAAATTCTGGAATCTCACTAGAATCAATATCCAATTCCATGTATCTAAAAGGGCATACATAAGTTCATATTGTACCAAAAAGAAATATAAACCAACATCATGGCCTAGATCAGAAAATTCAATTTAAAAAACTTTAATACTGCCCTACCCCTATGCCAATACAAGCAAGCAATAAACCAGTGTTTTAAACGGCAAA